TATATCCCTTTTAAAAGTAAATTTATTAAAATAATTGGTTCAGGCATCTGCAATGGTGACTCCAACCTCTCTACTCCAGGCTCAATGCTGATGGAGACGATCTGCTTGACAATCTTGGAAGGGCTGTAAAGGCCGTGCAAGCCTGTGGATCCTCATCCGGAAACGATTCCAGGTCTTGGAACCTTTCCCACAAGGAATCTTCTTTGTAGTGATTGTCAGAATCTTGGTAGGCATCCAAACTGGTCTCTTCACCTTGAGGTTCTACTCCTTTGCACCTCTGAGCAAGTCGACACATACCTTTTGCAGGGATTTAACGTTCCGGCGAATGGCCACCTCTGGTTCCATGAGCATCTTTCCGGTGTCCTTAAAAGCCATGGCTGCAGTGCGGCTTCCCGAATGACTTGTTCCCCACAGAGAGAGAACAGCGGAGAGTCAGGAGGGGGAGCAGATGAGCAAAGCAAACCTGAGGCAGCTACCGCGTCTTTTTAAAGCACCTTCTACGTGACCAAGCATAAATCCTTTTTTCTCCTCTTTATAGTATATCCAAAGTACATGAAAACAAGTCTCAATATCTTCATTTCTAAGCATATTGGCTGTTCTTCCAAGTTATGGTTGTTATGTGCTGTCCAGTTGTATGGTCATAGCTCACGGGAGGAGATTGCCCATCTTTCTCTTGCAGAGGAGAGGGTTGATGTAATCCAATCTTCGGAATGGCAGCACAACTGCTTGTTCTTCTACCCATCCCTCATTCACTGCTTCCAAAAAAAAAAAAAAATCAAATAACTACCCCCAAAGCAATCAGAACTACTGCTGTCAAGTCAGTTCTGGCTAATGATAACCCTCTTACCAGTTTCCTACAGACTTTTACAGGAGGAAACGGCCATATTTTCATTTTTCTCCCATAGAGTGGCTAGTGAATTCAAACCACTGACCTTTTGATCAGCAATGCAACATACACCTATGTCACCAGGTTTCCTTGTTTTTCTGATGTTGTTAAGAGCTGTTGAGTATGACTCACAGTGACTTTATGAACAATGGATGCACCCTGTCTTGTCCTGTGCCATCCTTATTATCCCCGACACACTTGAGCCCACTGACACAGACACTGTATTATTCCATCCGGTTGAGGGGTGTGTGTGTGTGTTTTTTTTTCTCTCTCTTTTGCTGGGCCTCCACCTTCCCAAGCATGAGGTTCTTCTTCTAGGATTAGCTTCAGTGTTATAGTCAACACTCTCCACCAACACCACAATTCAAAAGCATCATCAGTTCTTTTTCCGTCTTCCTTATTCACTGTCCAGCTTCCACATGAACATTTAGGTAATTGAATACGTCATGGCTTGGGTTTGATGCACTTTAGACCTCAAAGGGACACCTTTGCTTTATTACTTTAAAGAGGACTTTTGTTAAAGCAAATTTGCCCAAGAAGCACACCCAGGGTTGCATCTAATATTGAAACACCTCCATAAACACCTCAATTGGTATTCTGTCAATTCCTGGAGCTTTAATTTTACTAATGCCTTCAGTGAGGCCTGGATATCTTCCACAAGTACCACTGGTGACCTCATGAAATGTTTACACAGTGATCAAGTCTTGCTGAGGAGGGGTTTTCTTTGTATTAATTCTGTTAGGGCTTGCCAATCTTTATTAGATATGAAAGGTGATGTTCTCATTAAATATAGTCACATTCCCTTTTTCTGCTATTCCTTCTCATTTTATAGTCTGAACACTGGCTGAAGGCTATGAGTAGGTTCCAACTTGATGGCAATGAGTTTGAGTTTGGCTTTTTATTTTCTTAAATTATAGGCATGGTTAAGCCACTTGATATTGTCTCATAGGTCTCCAAGGCTCTGTTCATTTTGTAAAAAGAACTTCTTTATCTGTTTTTGTTTGTTCGTTTGTTTTACCAATTTGGATAGTCTCTAAGGGGAAAAAAGTAAGTATTTTTTTCCTTTCTGACATCGCCAATCGTCTGCTAAGATTTGTGTATTTTTTTCATATCAGATGTTACTTTTAAGAATTTGTTTTTTTCCCTTTTAGTTCTAATACTTTTATTGTTTATTCAGAAGATTATATTTTCCCTCAACGTTTTTGTCTGCTAATCCCAATACTGAGTTACCTTGAAGTCTGTTTTCAATGACTTTGTTTTTTCCTTTTCTTTATTATAGATAACATTTTCTTGTATGTCTAGCCATTTAAAAATTCTATTTTATTCCAGACATTTCTGATTACTATATGTTTAGGCATCTGGATTATGTTGTCTTCTCTCAAAGAGTACTGAGGTATTTTTCTGGTAGATAGTTAACGTGGCAAGAAGTAAAAATTCAGAAATTACATGTATGCATTTTATTCCTAAGAAAAGAAAAAACCACGGGTGTTTTATAAATCAGACAGAAAAAAATTACCAATTTGATTTGAGTAGAACAGGGGACTTACTTTAATGAAGCAGAATCGTACAAATTTCTCAAACTGTAATTTGGCCTCTGAATTACAAAATGCGGAAACAGGGATTGCCGACAGTTTCTGTAAAATAAGTAAAAATATATAAAGATGAAAACTATTTATACTTCAAATAGTTTTAAGGCCTTAGGACCAAAAAGATTAGAAGCAAATAGGTATTTTTAAATATTCAGAGCAATTTTCAAAATGAAAAATGTTTTTAATCCTCTAAGTATCCCATCCACTAGTAGAGTGTCATATAGTAAAAGTATAGTTACCATTTTTCAAAGCTTGGCAGGTTTCTTTTATAAATTAACTGTACAATGCAGCACAATATTGCAAAGAGCACTAACATTACCTTATTTTTAGTCATCCATTTCACAAATTTATAATCATAAGGTTCATCGTTCTTCATCTCAGAGAGATCTGCATCTAAAATAGCAGTAAAAATTAGATAGCCTATATATTATATCTTAGACAAGATATATTTCAGTCTACTAAGAGCTGAATATTTTCTTCTAATTTAAATAATTTAATTTAGAATTTTCTAAGTAGGTAGTCCCAGAGTCTTCTGGAATCACATACTACATAATTAAAATTCAATTTATAGTGGGTCAGAACCGACTAGTAGTTGACCCTCCATTGTTTCTGGGACTGTAAATTGCCCAGAAGGAGATAGTCTGTTTTTCTGTGGAGGAGCTGGTGGAGTTGGTGGATTTAAACTGACAGAGAGGTACAATTAAAAAAAAAATTAATGAAAGTGTACAAAGATTTAGGGTTTCCAGTCATTCATTGTTGCACTTTTCTCCCTGCTCACTGCCTTTCCCCCAATTAACTTTTCTCTTTGATAAGTAAAAGAAAGAGTTTTTCCATTGCTTTGCAATCCCTCCCTCAAAGTCCAATGCACCAGAGGCACACTTTTTGGGTTAGCAAAGAACTACCTATGGGCTATACAATCTCAACTTATTTGTGCTATGAAATGTGGAGAGTAGAGAATTCATAGATTATTTTACTCTAAAGTTTTCCTCAGTAGTAATTATATCTTTAATAGCCAGTCAATGCCTTTGAGTTGTGGTATAGGACAGGAGTACTGAATATCTCATGAAATGCCAAAAGAACAAACAGATATGTCTTAGAGAAAGTGCAAGCAGAATGCTCCTGAGAAGCAAAGATGGAGATATTTCATTTCACATACTTTGGGCACGATATTGCTGTTATTAGGTGCCATCGAGTCGAGTACAACTCAACAACTCATATGAACAACAGATCTGTAACCCTGTCCTGTCCTGTATCATCCTTACAATCTCTGACTTACTCAAATCCATTGCGGAAGTCACTGTGTTGATTCACCTGGTTTAGGGTCTTCCTTTCCTTCGCTGCCCCTCCACTTTCCCAAGCATGATGTCTTTCTCCAAGAAATAACCTCTCCTAGCAACATGTCCAAAGTGTGTGAGACAGAGCTTTCTCATCTTTGCCTTTAAGAAGCACTCTGGGTGACCCTTCTCTAAGACATATTTCTTTGTTCTTTTTGGAGTCCATGGGATATTCAGCACTCTCCTCCAACACTACAGTTCAAAGTCATCAATTATTCTTCAGCCACCCTTAGTTACTGCCCAGCTCTCAGATGCACAGCAAGTACCTGAAAAGACAATTACTGAATGTGGTACACCTTAGTCCTTAAACAAACATAACTGCTCCTCAATAATTTGGAGAGGTCCCTGACTACAGACTTTCCCAGTGCAAACCATCTCCTGAATTCCTTATTGCTGGTACCAAATGCATTGACTGTGGATCCAAGTAAGATGAAGTTGTTGAAAGTTTCACTCTTTTCTCCACCTATCTTGGATTTTTGTTGTTTTGTTTTTTAAATGTTGAAATGCAATCTATATTGAAGGCTGCAGTGTTTAACCTTCTGCATGCAGCAAGTGATCCAAGTCCTCCTCTTTGAGCAATCAAGATTGTGTTATGCACATAATGCATGCTATTGATAAGTCTTCCTCCAATCCTGATGTCACATTCTTGTTTACAGAGTCCAGTTTCTCAAATAATTTGTTCAGTATACATATTGAAGAGGTATGGAGAAAAGATAAAATCATGGTACACACCTTTTCTGATTTAAAACCATGTAGAAATCCCTTGCTCTGTTTGCAAAATAGCCTTTTTTTGGGTCTAAGTCTAGGTTTCCCAGGAGCACAAGTAAGTGTTCTGAGTTTCCCATTCTTCTCAATGTTAGCCATAATTTCTTAGGAGGGTCTTGGAAAGAGACATGATGCTTGGAAAGGTGGTCAGTGAAAGAATGGAAGATTCTCAACAAGATGGATTGTCACGGTAACCAATAGGCTTAGATATGTCAGAGATAATGGGGATGGTACAGGATAGGACAGGGTTCAGATTTGTTGTTCATAGGATGGCTATGAGGTATTTGACTCGTTGGCACCTAACAATGACAACAACAATCACCACCAATCACTATCTTGTAAATTCCATGAGGAGAAAAGGTCTGTTTTGTGATCTGTTGCATCATTACTCTTGGCTTAATGCTTAGTACATAAATGATAAGAGTATTTGTTGAATGAATTGCACTATTAAACAATAAAATTAGTAAAATTTAGAGCCTATGTAAAGTAAAAAAATCTGTCAAAGAAAGAGATATTTTCTTCTTTCTAGACACAAATAAGAATATCTGAGTCTCAAATATAACTTCATTATAATAAAACATTTGAAATTGTATTTATTTTGGTTTGTGATTTCTACCAGAATATATTATGTTTTCAATATACTATTATTAACATTGTTGTCATTATGTGCTGTCAAGTCACTTGTGACTCATAGCAACCCTATGTACGACAGCCCTAAACCCTGCTCTATCCTGTGCCAACCTCACTGTCTCCGACACATTTCTCTCATTATCCCATCAGTGAATCGATCCATCTTATCAAGGGTCTTTCTCTCTTGTGCTGACCTTCCACCCTCCCAAACATCATGTCCCTCTCCAAGGACTGGTCCCTCTTTGCAACATGCCCAAAGTATGTCAGACGAAGCTTCAAAGTCCATTCCTCCAAGGAGCAGCCTGGTTTCACTCTCTCCGGGACAAACCTGTTTGTTCTCCTAGCAGTTCATGGTATATTCAACACTCTTCTTCAGCACCACAGCTCAAAGGCATCAATCCCCTTTGTATCATCCCTAGTCACTACCACTGACACATAGCATGCAATTGTAAAGACTATGGCCCAGATCAGGCACACTAAGTCTCCATTCTGACGTTGCTCTTCAGTACACTGGAGTGGCCCTTGACAGTTGACTTTTCCAGTGCAATTCATCTCTTGATTTCCTGGTTGCTGGTATCAAGAGTGTTGATTGTGGAACCAAGCGAACTAAACTGTTAACAATCTTAATCTCTTCACCATCCATAATGATGCTGCCAATTGGCCCAGTGGTGAGAATCTTTGTTTTCTTGATGTTGAGCTTCAACCCATATTGAAGACTGCAGTCCTTGATCTTCTGCAGCAAGCGCTTCAGGTCCTCCTCAGTTTCAGCAAGCAGGGTTGTTGATGAATCTCCCTCTAATCCTGATGCATTATTAACTTTCTAGTTTCTAAAAAGTCACATATAAAACATCAATTTTCTAACTTTATATTTGTATGACATCAGAATCACATAAAAAAGATTCAGTAAAAGTCACTGTTTTCTGGAGACAGAACTCTTTACACTCTAGCAATATTACTTCAAATGGATTTTAAAAAAACATTCTATATTTTCCATCTTGAAAAGTGATCTGAGTTACTGTTCCTGTATGCTGCATAGTATGGAGCAATAACTTTGTAAATTATTACCTAACTTGGGAGGGACAGGAGCATTATTCTGAGTGAACTAACTCAGTCCCACAAGGATAAATGTTGTATAAAATCATCATTTTAGAATGAGTGCAAGGATCCAGGAGGTGTGGGAAAGGCTGGAAGCAGAGGGATGAGGATGTGCTGGGGGTGGGGGGGAGATTGATCATTGGGTTGTACAATTTGATGGGTGGGGGAGTGAGGGATATTGAAAGAATTTGTTCAAATTTATATTCAAATGTTGTAAATAAACTAGTGGAAAAAGAAGAAAGCACAAATAGTAAAACAAACAAACTACTGGCGAATTGGCCATGCATTGGTTCTAACAACAACAACAATAACAGCAGCAACAACATCATCCTTATTCATTGTCCAAAAAAAAAAGTGAGCCAGCAGTATTAATGAGTGCTTGACATATAGTAGACCTTTAAGAAATACATTTTCATTTTAATTTCTTTAAATAAAATTGAATGGCTTCAAAATTTCCAGATTCAAACTCAAAACACATTGCTTTTGAGCTTGAACTGATTCATGGTTGATCTTCCAGTGAGTTTTCAGAGGCTGTAAATCATGTGGGAGGCCACCCTTCTTCCTTTCTCAGAATAGCTGGAGGATTCAAACTGCCTACCTTTGAGTTGGCAGTGCAACTCCCTACCAACTACCAATGAAGATTCAGAATCCTAAAGATTTTATGTTTCTTAAGAAAGTATGTCTTTTTTAAGTGAAAAGAAAAAAAATTTACTCAAACACAAGGTTCATATAAATATTTTATACATATGTGCTTTAAATTACACATCAGAAAAAGATGACAGAAAATTCTGTTGAACAGAATAGCAAGAGCATCACTGCCTCCATAATCATACAACAATGGTCACATTTAAAGTAAAGGTAATCATAGAAAAGCACTGATGTTGCATACTCCATCCTTTGCCATAGCTAAGATCTTTGGTAACAGTATTTTAATCACAGTTCTGTTATAATTTCGCATACATAAATTTCAGTGTATTTGAAATAATAAAAACTTTTACAAACCTAGCAATGACACGTCAGCAATGATGAAATACCCTCCATCAGGAACAATGGGTTTCAGCCCAACGCTTTCAAGTAAATGGGCCATTCGATCTCTTTTTACTTCTAACTCTCTTGCCAAACTATTAAAGTAACACTCTGGGTCATCCATACGCTTGATGTCTATCTGAAAAGCTTGAGCCAAGGCTTCCTGGGTTTTAAAATAGAAAAGTATAGAAAAGAAATATGGTAATATGTTATTTATTGCTTAGTTTATTGGTATTATATATAAAGATGATCTGAGTAAGATAATTGGCAAAAATTAACTCAAGAAATGACAGTTGGATTCCTGTGCAACTATGTTAAACGGTCGACAGGTTAATGGAAGAATGAGGTAGTAAGTAAATGAAGTCCTGAGAATGAGCCCTATAAGTCTAAATTGAAAAAAAAAAAATAAGAATGATATCTTAATTGGAAAACATTTTCAAGTTATTTTCTGCTGTGGCAAGCTATAGAATGACTTGCTAAATCTAAATCTAGATGATTGAAATGATAAACTAGCAAGCTTTTATAACTTTAGATGGCAGCAGTGGAAATGAACACTGACCTAATGTACAAAGAAGAAAGAAGTACCATTTATTCTCTATGAGTGTATGAAACTCTGCTCTAATCATCCATATCCCAAGAAAAGGGTCCAAGTGCAAGAAGGGTGAGACACAGTACTGGTGAAAGTGCAACAATTCTGCTAGCATCCTTCAGAAAAAGCCAGGAGAGACAATGAGGCAATCAGTACAAGCCAATTTTGATAAAGATGAGGGTGGTCTGTGGAGTTCGAGGTAAGCAGCTAAGAAGCAGGGCATACAAAACCAAGAAGGTGTAGAGACAGGAGGCAGGAGCCTAGCAAGGGAGTATAAACTGGCCTCATTTAGAGTATTGCTCCTCAGAGCACATCAGGAGATCCAGGTAAACAACAAAGCACTTGAAATAATTAACATAATGGCAGAGTGGCCAATTTTTCTTTTTTTTTTGTAGAGTGGCCAGATTTTAAGGGAATCAACTGGTCAAGAGATTAAAAAAAAGGATAAATTAATTCACACAGAAAATATACACTGAGTACCTATGTTAAGGTGGGAAATGAATACCGAGGATATAACAATAAAGAAGGTAATTTTAATATTTGTCTTCATACTCACTGGCATCTGGTCAGATTACTCAGAGCTGACCCTCTAGGTTTTTTAAGGTTGTAAAGTGCATGGGAGGAGACTTCCCATCTTATAAGTTAGAGCAATTAGTGCATTTGAACTCCCTGTTTTTGTTAGTGCATTTAAGTTGCCTGCAGTGCCAGTCCTCACCCACCAGGCCACCAGAAGTCTCCATATGTCTTAAACTTCCAATTAGTCAGAGAAAGGGATGTCTCTCTCTCTCTCTCTCTCTCTCTCTCACACACACACACACAACCCCAAACCAAAAACCAAAAACACAAACGTAAAACCATAAAAACCCAAAAAACCCCAAATGAATGAAAAGGGTATCCAAGTACTGAAAATGTGGAGATTCAACATATTATTTCTTCCACCAGGAAAACAAGAGGTTCTCGAGATAATGCTGTGTTGTTAGGTGCTGCCAAGTGACCCTGTGACCAATAGATCTGAACCTTGCCTTTTCCTGAACCATCTTGACAATGTCTGCTCAAGCACATCCTTAGAGTCTCTGTGCCAGTCCATCTCCTTGAGAGGCTTAGCTGACCCTGCATTTTTCTAAGCATACTCTTCTTTTCCAAGGACTGTACCTCCTGACAAAATGTCCAACATGAGTTGAAGCTTTATTACCTTTGTATCCAAGGAGCACCCTTCTTGCACTTCTAGGTTTCTTTTTTCATCAGTGCTTCTCGCGTTGGCTTTTCTATGTTCAAGAGCAAGTTTCAGAGTCTCTTAAGAGATATATAACTGGGTGTTTCTGTCATCACAGGAGTCTAGAGCGAGGGCTGCATGGTGGAGGGGACCTGGGGGGGGGTTTGTGGAACAATGAAAGAATCTTTTCTTTTACTTTTCCATAATTTTTGACTCATGTACTTATAACTTGTTAGTCAAATTTGTGTCTTCTAGGTTGCAACACCCCCATGATACATCTTCAAGGATATGAACATGTATGGCCAAGCACAATCAATAAGAGTACATCTAAATTCCAAAATCAGTCTCCATAATAGTCTATGTGCTTCCTACTGCCAAAGGGGCCCTTTAGAGTAGTGAGAGAAGATCTTCACCCTGAAACCCACAGCGTCCCTTTTCAGCAGGAAGTAGCTAAGAGAATACGCCATCCCCTTTTCCTTATGACTCAGGGTGAAGTCTCTCTCAGGGAGGAGTGATAGGGAATGGCAAAGGACACACTGACAAAGAAGATTAATCAGAACTGGCTTTGACAAGCACTGTGGCATTTGGACAAGAACAAACTGGGAGGAGGGTAGAGAGAATGGTGCAGCGGTGAATGAATGGAAACCCAACATCTCTGTAAATGTTTATGAAAATTAATAAAATATAATTATAGAAAAAATAGCCTTTTGCTTTCTTTATGTATGATGTCTCCAAACAACAGGCCTTGTCTTTGGTCATTAGAGCTCAATGTATCAATTCAGCTCTTGAGGTGGTTTTAAAATTCAGGTGGGATAAACTCAAGGTCATATTTTGACTTGCTGGAGAGCACTGTGTAAGTAAAAGTCCTTAGAAAAGAATTTGTTGTTGTAGGGAAAGTAAAGTGTGGTTGAAGGATAGAAAAAGAGAAAGCATGGCAAGAGAAAAAGGCTAGAGAGAGAGGGATAAGATCACAGAGAAGTCTGCATGACAAAAGAATTTAGAAGTAAGCAGAATCCTAATTTCCCAAACCCAAAACAACTCAACCCACTGACATCAAGTTATTTCCTTGTTCATTACCAAGCCCCCTCCCATGTGACAGAGGCGATCACAGGTTTTCAGGACCGTAATCCTTCTAGAAACTACACCATTATTCTTCCACAGAGTGGCTGGAAGGTTTAAACATGACTTAGGGTTAATATAGTACAGCACGTAACCACCGTCACCAGGTTCTATATAGCTCCTTGGCCTTAAAAACAATCCCAGGTAACTAGAGGTAGGCTATTCAGCCTAAGAATTTATGGTTCTTCTTGAAATATGGACCAGTTTCTATAGATGGTTGGAGGGAAGCTGCTGGGATACAGAATAAAATGGTTTCAATGAGATGTTCCAGCTTTAGAATATCTGATTTTCCCCCCTTTATCTTAGTAATTTACTCTTTCACTATAGTTGGAGATATTGTCCTAAAATAGTTCAGCTTTCAGGAAACATAAACATCCTACCCAACTCTGGAATTATCCTTGACTTTTCATCTCAAACTCCATATGTAATATATTAGCAAATGCTATTGACTCTACTTAAAAAATAAATGTTTATAGTTCAACCACATTTTACCTCTTCTGCCATTTTCACCTAGGTTCAATTCACTGTTAGCTATTTCCAGTATGTATCCTAACAGCTGCTGTTTAACTCAACAAAGTAGTAAGAGTCCCTTTACATACATGAAACTAGATCATGTCACTCACAACTCACCAGAGGCTTCTGATCTACTTAGAAAAAATAAAAGTTCTTACAGTGAAATTTGATGCCCCACTTGGTTTGGGTCCCTGATATCTCTCTGGCCGTTTTCTCCTAAAACTCTTTCTGCTAGGTCATTCCTTTACAAAACCTATGAAAGAATTGGCAAAACTCAAGGCTCCAGGAATTGATGGCATACAAATTGACATATTTCAACAAAAAGATGCTGCCCTGCAGGTGCTCACTAGTTGTACCAAGAAATCTGGAGGACAAAAAAAAAAAAAAGAAATCTGGAGGACAAATACCTGGCCAACTCATTGGAAGAGATCCATATTTATTCTTACCCCCCAAAAAAGGTGATCATCAAGTTAAAATCATCCGTCAAGAGTGTGGAAATTATTGAACAATATCACAAACAAGTAGATTCTGCTGAGGATTATTCAGAAACAACTGGAACAATACATTAATAGAGAACTACCAGAAATACAAGCTACGTTTAAGAAGAGGCCATGGCACTAAAGATATTATTGCCAACATTAGATGGATCTTGGCTGAAAGCAAAAAGTCCCAGAGGAATATCTACCTGTATTTCACTGACTATGCAAAGGCATTGCCTGTATAGATCATAACAAATTGTGGCTAATCTTGAGGAGAATGGGAATCCCAGAACACTTGATTGTGCACTTGTTCTTGGACCAAGAGGCAGTCATCAGAACAGAGCAAGAAGACACTGTAATGGTTCAAAATTAGGAAAAGAGTGCATCAAGGATGTGTCTTGTCTCCATACCCTTTCAGTCTGTTTATGGAAAAGATCATTTGAGAGGCTGGACTTTACGATGAGGTATATGGCATTAGGATTGGAGGAAAACTCAGCAACAACTTGTGTTAAGCATATGATACAATCTTGCTGGCTGGAACTAAGGAGGATCTAAAGCATTTGGTGCATAACGTGAAGGACTGAAGCTTAATATCAAGAAAACAAAGATTCTCATCACTGGGTCAACTGGCAGCACCACGATAGGTGGAGAAGAGTTTGAAGTTTACAGTTATAGCTTGCTTGGCTCCACAATCAACACTCTTGGCACTAGCAACCAGGGAATCAAAAGATGAGTTGCACTGGGAAGTATGCTGTCAGGGAACTCTCCAAAGTGCTAAAGAGAAATGATGTCAGTTTAGAGACAAGCGTGTGCCAGATTCATGCCATGATCTTTGCAATTACTTGCTATACACCAGAGAACTGGACAATTAGGGATGACAGAAGAATTGATGCCTTTGAGTTCTGGTGCTGGAAAAGAGTACTGAACATACCCTAGACCACCAGAAGAACAAATAGGGCTATCTAGGAGAGGCCAAAACCAAGTTTTTCCTTGGAGGCAAGGATTCTGATGCTCCATCTGACATTCTTTGAGCATGTGGCCAGGAGAGACCAGTCCTTGGAGAGGATATCATGCTTGGAAGGGTGGAGGGAAAGCATAGGAGAGGAAGACCCGGATGAGATGAACTGACATAATTGGGTCAATGGGATTAGATGTGTCAGAGTCAGTGAAACTGGCTCAGGAAAGAGCAAGCTTCAGAACTATTGTACATAGGGTGTCTATGAGTTGCAGGTGGCTTGACGGCACATAAC